CTCCTGAAAGTCTCTGGATCCCAGCTGACGTGCAGCAGTCAAGGAGCCAGACCTCAGTGCTACATGGAGGTCTATGTGGGTGGAGGAGGATATAGGCAGTAAGGGGTTAAACAGGGAGACAGGACACAGAAGGTCCCTCAGGGGCTTCTGAGCCCACAAAACCTTGAGGGAAGGGACAGGGACTGTGACTCCCTCCAGTTCAGACTAACACTTGCTGTCTTGTGGGGCCAGTTTTCCTTTGCAGAGAAATGGGAGCATCCACACGACACCGAGGTTCTGGGAGCTCTGGACCTTGGAGGTGCCTCAACACAAATAACCTTCCAACCTGGAGTCACCATAGAGGACACGAACACCTCTGTCTTCTTCAGGCTGTACGGCACCAACTACTCACTCTACACGCACAGCTACCTCTGCTATGGGCAGTCGCAGGCCTTGAAGATGCTGCTGGCAGACCTCCACCAGGTACCGTTGCCACTGGTCACCAGGCACCCATTGCCATGAAGAATGTCTTCCAGAAATTTTGGGCATGTCTGTGGAAAAAGCGTTAGGGAATTGGGAATTTTAATGAATTCAAAAACCTGGGAGGCTTAGATTTTAACCAAAAAAATTCTCTCATTTGGGTGGAAGGTGGTGGTGGTTCCCTGCGAGGGCTTCCTTCTCTCCAGATGCTGACGTAATGGCATTTTTCATAATTTCCCAAGCCCAGCTGTATCCTTAGGTTCTTCCCTGTCCCCTTTCGCTTGCCCTTCCTCAATTTCTGCCCAGAGAGAGGAGTCCCACCATACTCTCTTGCACACCACTCCACCACTAACCAGCGTCCTCCCGTCTCACCTCAGACGCAGCGCACAGCCCAGCGCTGAGGGAGATGGAGATGCTCAGGGCATCTGCCAGCGGGATGCATCTTTGGTCCTTTCTGGGCTCGGGCCTGCAAGATGCGGTGGGGACAGAGGGAATGCCAAGAGCAACAAGCTCTCCGTACAGGCAGAGAGCACGCGCTGCCCTCAGGAGCCGGCTGCCATCCCCGTGGGGAGGCACAGGCTGGCAGTGGCATCACCACCCCAGCACGGCTCAGTGGTGGGGCAACAGCAGGATTGGCAAAAGCCGTGGGCAGGTTAGTCCTGCAAAGGATGTATCCTGCTTCTCCCCAAATCCTCCTAGGGTCTAGATCTTGCTTTTTGGGAATCTCTAAGCACAGGATGGGCTGTGGGGCAGGGTCTAACTGGCATCCCACACCAAGCCCCGCTAATGGCTTGCACTCTCTCCAGGGCAGCCCGTCTTCCCAGCAGGTATCACACCCCTGCTACCCCAAGGGATACCAGGAGAATGTCACCACGGCGGACCTCTACAACAGTCCCTGTGTCCGTGCACCAAGCACACCCAGCCCCACACAGGTCCTCACGGTGACGGGGACAGGGGACCCTGCAGTGTGCAGCACCGCCATCCAGAAACTCTTCAACTTCAGCTGTGGGGCCAACAGGACATGCGGGTTCAACGGGGTTTATCAGCCGCCCGTGCGGGGACAGTTCTTTGTAAGGAGCCTCCGTCCCCGCGGCTGTGGTGGGGGAGGACAGAGGGCAGGAGTCTTCTCTGCCACTGGTCGTGGGAAGGGGTGGGGAGAGAGGGGAGCCCAGAGCTGGTCCCAGCTGCAAACTTTTTCTCTGCTGGGAGGTGGATTCTGCCTCCTGCAACGTCCCAGCCCTCCCTAAGGGAAATGGGAAGATCTTGTTCAAAGGAGCAAGTCTGAGCTAGCTCAGAGTGCAAGCAGCAGCCCCAGGGCTTGTCCAGCAGCCCCAAGACTTTCTGGTAGAACATCAAGTGGGTGCTGGATGCAGAACTCTGGGAATTACATGGGACTCTGTCCCCAGGCAAGAGGGATGGGAGGTTTTTGGGGTTTTTTTTTTGGGTGAGGAAGGAGATGTAGTTTTTACCATCTCCCCTTATCCCCCAGGCCTTTGCTGGGTTCTACTACACCTTCCACTTCCTGAACCTGACCAGCCAGCAGTCTCTAAATGACGTCAACTCCACAGTCCAGACCTTCTGCAAGAAGCACTGGGCAGAGGTGAGCGCCCTGTGCAGGGCAGCAAGAAGCCCTGTGCTTGTCCCATCCCAAATCTCTGCCCAGGAGGCACACGTCCTGCTGTTCCCTGGGCAAGGAGGGCTTCTGAGCATCTGTTCATTCCCTGTTGCACTGTGTCTCCCAATGGCCCCACAGCTGGTGGAGACCTTCCCGCAGGAGAAGGAGTACCTACACACGTACTGCTCCGTGGCGATTTACATCTTGACGCTGCTGCTTGATGGCTACAAGTTCAATGAGCACACATGGAGCAGCATCCACTTCAGCCAGCAGGTAAACATCCTGTGGGGCAGCGGGCACGGGCAGGCAGCTGCGGCCGCATCCTTGCTCTGGCCCAAGGACATGTTCAGGAGCAGCATCCCTGGGATCCCCTGCGCCAGAAATGTGTCCTCACCTCATGCCTGCCACCCAGTGATCCCAGCACAGCTTCGCTCTTTTTCACCTGCCTCCAAACCCCTGATGCCAGCTTGTTCTCACTTACTCTGGTGTGAACATAAGCTAATTTTAAGGAGGTCAGAGAAGTGGAGAGCAGGATTTGGACACCCTGTTCTCTGATGTTGGGCAGAATTGACTTGGCCATCAGAGAATTGATGGTAGCCCCATGACCCATTTGAAGCAGAATATGCCCAAATTTGAAGGATCATGGGGGAGGATGAAAGCTCAGATACAAAATCATGTGCAGGTCACAGAGGCATATCTGGACCAGAGCAGTCATCCATGTCCAGCTGCCCTTTAGCCCTGGGAAGTGGGCAGAGGAAAGCTCTCTGTGTAACTGGTGCTGGTAAGGTCAGGTTCACCACAGCCAGGTCCACGTGTGAAATCACAGCTAGGGCAGCTCATGGTGCCCAGCAGTCCCTTGCACTGAAGTTACTGCTGCTTGGGAGAGCACTTTTGGATGACTTCCTCTGCTTTCTCACCTCAGGCAGCAAACACAGACATCGGATGGACGCTGGGCTTCATGCTGAACTTCACCAACATGATCCCCACGGAGGCTCTGGAACATGTCAAGGGGCACCAGCCCAGCCTGTGGGCAGGTGCCGTCTCCTTCATTGTGCTGGCCATAGTGGCAGGCCTGGTGGCTGTTTTCCTCCAGTGTTTCTGGAAAACCAAGTAGTTCCCAGCCTCCTGGCTGGAGGCGTCCTGCCCACTAAATCAGGCAGGGAAGTGGTGCAAAAGAAGGTGGAAGGGGAGAAGAATGAGGGCATTATACCCATCTCCATTGCTCAGGAGGTCTAACTGGGTCATCTCTGTAAAGATGCTGAAAACAACAAAGCTGTCTTGAGGTCTCCAAGTACCTCCAAGAGGAAAAGAGTCCTGACTCCAGAAAAAACTTTAATCTGGCTGACAAAAGCTGACCAAGACTTAGTGGCTAGATGAAGCCAGATAAATTTAAACTAGAAATAAAATCCTTTTTGTTTTTCAACTACAAAGGTCACTAACCAGCCTAGCAGCTTGCTTGGCACTTCCAGTCCTGCTGGGCTGCTCCCCAGCCACGGGAGGCAATCAGTGATGGAGAGCAATGATGGGCACTTAAACTCTGAGGAGAGGGGTGACCTTATCTGTATCTTGTCTTGTGCAAGATGTGCAAGATTTTTGTAGTATGTGTAGAATATCTTCCCAAAGACACTGTCAGCTGTCTTTAAAAATATTTACTGGCATATCTCAGCAGAAAAATACAAGTGGAAGTTGATTTAAGAGCTGCCAACTCTGGCTCAGGGTTTATTTTATATTCAAGTTACATAGCACAGCTTTGTCAGATACCAAATCCATAGCAGGTTCCAGCTCCAGGCACTTGAGTGTCTTATTTAGATCAGCAGAGCCCAGAACAGCCCAGCTGCAGGAACCGGACAGTCATTTCAGCCCTTCCAGCTCCAGCCACCAGCCCAGCACTGCGCTGCCCAGCCAGCCCTCTCCCCAGCCCCTCCAAGGCTCTGCCAAAGCCCAGGGCTGCTCTGAAACAGGGGTGTTTCCACAACTACCTCTCCTCTGTGCTGCAAGTCCCCTGCCTACACAGCATGAAGCAGTAAAATCTAGGCAGGACTTAAGGGCTTAAGAAAAGAACCAAAGGCATTTGTGGTGAGGAATGCTCAGAGCCCTTTGGCAGATCCATGGGGTATCTGCTGTAGATGATTATACATGGTGGTCCTAACCCAAGGTGTTATCCCATATCACCCACTGCAAACTGGTTACAAAAGTCTTCTGAAAGAGCAGCATCTCTCTGGTGGAGATAAGGATATGTGGCCCAAGGGCCTGGGGAACAGGGCTGCTTTCTGCTCACAGACAGCTATCCTTGGCTTCATCAGTGAGGCTCAACCTCCCCAGCCTGACCTTGGGGTGAAGGGAGAGGGGGTGAAGACCTCCATCCAGAGGAACCTCTTCCCACCCAGCAGTCTGAGCCCCTGAGGCCTGAGCTGCCACGTGGACATTTCCCATAGCCAAACACCAGATCCCGCCCTCTTCTCTCTGCCCTGCACAAGCACATCTTTGGCAGTATAAGCATGGAGGTAAAAATGCCAGGTCTGGGAACAGGCTGTAAAAAATGCTGTTGGACTGCTGGAACTGACCCTATGGGATCTGTGAGTGGGGGACATCTCCTGTCGGGTTCCGCCGAGCCCCTGGCTTGG